CACACTAGATAATGAACTTTTTTTTTTTAAGCGTAAAGTTTGACCATTTGAAAAAGTATACATGGTGAATATGAGTTTGTGAAGTCATGATAAACGTGGACAAACGAGTAATCACACGTTTTCCTTTTTGATTAGTGATCTAGATAAACTTTGTGGTTGATGGGCTCTTTCTTATAGCAAGTAACTGTGTCACATCTGACTCTAGGGTCTCTCTATACATGATGAATTAATTGTACGGTGTTAACCTCTGGATGAGGAGCTTTTTCAAGTCACAAACTAAAAGTCTACCATCAATTTTAATTTCAAACAAATGAATGTTAAATTTTGACTTATTTCTAGCAATGTGAATCACACACTTTTAGGGCTAGAGAAGGAGATGGACACCGATGAGTAAATAAGAAGGTTTGTTAAGGGCATAATTGTCATTCAAAACAATCATTAGTTGAATAAATAATGAATAACAATATCAAAAGCATAGATAATTATGATAGATGATCAAAATGCTTTAGTTCCCTTTCCCAAATGGAGAGGTTGAGGATTCATGTATCTGATTTCTTTAGAGATGTGGGGACATGCTGATATGGGTATTTGTGTTTGCTTTATGTATATAGTGTTCAATTGTTCCTTGGGAGCAAAAAAATTTATATTCACTTTTAATTATAGTCTTAGGATCTAATCCTATGACAATTAGTTAATTGACTTTTATTTTCTTTATTTTAAAAAACTTTCGTTTTCTTTCCATACTATTAAATATAGTTAAAGAAAAATAACAGAATTAAATAATTTATTAAAGGAAACAAGCATAAAATAATTTGGCTATTTTTTGCCAAATTTGCAAGCAGCCACTGAGACGAAGTAAAATTAATATAAAATTAAAAGTCCGTCATTTTTAATTTTTTTCCACTTTATCAATTCTATTGCAATCATATTATACATATTTTGGCATGTTTTTACCCATCAACACTTTGAACATTTAATTTACCAAAAAAATAAAAAATAAAATTTATGAAGTCAATAGTAGTCTCCTAATTCTAAATTAGGTACTGAACAAATTCCAAATATTTTATTAAGCTGAGTACAAAATATGGATCAATCTTGAAATTTGAGTTTTGATTATAATCAATACTTCTCAAGCAATCTTTATTTAATGGCCATTTTATTTATTTCTTTTGATTAATTATATTTGATTTCTGTTTATTCAACCGGTAGTGATGGCGAAGTGTTTTTTTTTATTGGACAGAGAAACTCAAACAAAAAAGTAGCCAAATTATTTTATTTTTGTTTCCTTTAATAAATTGTCTAATTCTGTAATTTTTCTTTAATGGTTTGGAAAGAAAATGTAAGTTTCTTAAAATGAAAAAATAAAATTCAATTAATTAATTACCGTAGGATTAGATCCTAAAATTATAATTAAAAGTGCATATAAAGTTTCTTAATCTTAGAAAATAATTGAACACTACTGTTTTATATATATATATATATGAAAGAGGGTAAGAGAGTCATTTAAAAAAAATTCTGTTCACAGCAGACAATTACAAACATGGAAGGAAAGGAAATCATGATTTACCTTTTGCTTACTATAATTTTTCTTTGGCAATGTAATTATTTCTTTATAGGAAATTGTATGATGTGAAATTGACTTCCTCCCACCTATTTAAGGGGCAAACCCACCTCTGTCTGCTAAATTTAAAGCATGAGATCAGAGAATGTGGAAAAAGGAAATGACAGCACAAGAGGGCCCTCGTCAATTAATGTTGAGGGGTGTGACTAAATAACTGTTATTTTTGGTGTACAGGCACAACTACTTAATTGGGGGCACATCTGAATGCGGACACAGTTTAATTGTTTGAATGAATATCTACACTAATCAAATAAAATACATAAATATTTGTCCGCGTGCGTGTGTGTCTGTGTGGAGATTTGACAACAAATAAAAATCTATTGAAAAAAGATAAATTATTTTTCTTTGCTTGTTGAGTTGTTAGATGATATAAGTAAATGGCCTACTCTTTTTGAAACGAAATATTGTTATTGATCGGACATACCAATGATTTGGTATGCCCGACACATTCAATGTATACACTGTTTAGTTCGATCTCACACACTCATTTCATGAATTATTGATTACCGAGTTCGAATCTCCTTTTAGAATGGGATTTCAAGAAATGTCCAATTACATATACTTTAGCCCCTATTCGACCATTAAAAGATCCGACGTAATCGTGAAATTATACCATTGAATTAATGGCCTATTTTATGACTCGACGAAGATACTTTAGGGATAAAGCAAACCATAATAGCAATAAATCCATGGTATCGAATTAAACTTCTTATTTGGAGAAATTATTATACGGTCGGGTCAATCATGTATTAATACATAAGCAAATATGTTAACATTATGTTATTTTTATTTCACTTTTTACTTATGTATTGACAAATAATTGACCAGAACCATGTAATAATTTATTCTTTCTAAGTGCTTCATATTATATTCACTTCAAAATTGTATGGAAAGGGAAGGAATTGAAGGCCAACATTGCTCTTTTGGGCATAGGAGTTAGAACATTGAATGGGAAAGGAAGGGATTGAAGATCATTCCTCTTTTGGGTAGACGAGGAGGGAATAGAAAGGAAGAAAGGAGGAAATGAGGGAATTTTTGTTCTTTGCACTCTACAATATCACTTCCTTTCATAAGTAGGGGAAAAAGATAGCAATAGTAAGGCGCCAACCAATATCAGGCCACAAAAATTTTAATTCATCTCATATTCTTAGCCCTAAACAATAAGCATGTATAATAATAATATATTAATAGTGAACCCTTATAATTTAATTCATCCTATTCATTCCTTCCATAAGTGGTTGGGAAACTTTGTTGTATTGAGTAAACTAGACAAAAAATAAAATAAAATAAAAGCATGTTTCAAGCGGCAGATTTGAAATTTAGCATCCACCAAAGCTAGCCTTTAGGCGAAACTAGCTAGTTTTAAAAAAGTATTTTTTTTACTTAGAAATAAAAAAAACGAATTAATTATTCATGGAATTATTTGTGATGCTATAATGCCTTCTAAAAATTGTTTGCAAATGGACCAATTTTGAGTTTGTGTACGATGTAAGGCTGCCTTGAATAATTGCTAAAGAAAATTCTTTAGACTTTCAATACGTGAGGTGAAAGTATTTATTGTTAGACTATAACCTATCTTTCCTTAGAGTTGTATATAATTGTTATTAGTTCTCTCTTAAATTATCACATTTTGAATATAAAAAGTCCCAGCGGATCACATTTCAAGTTGATCTCATTAAAACGGTATATAAAAATCCCTTAAAATAAAATCATCAAGTGTTAGTCAAAAGATGAATATTCAATTTGGTCAAATTTAATAAAAAGAAATAAATAACAAGGCTTGACTAAAGCAGTCATGTAGTTTACTCTAAATATAATTTGGTTACTGTTCTCTTTCATACATATAAATCCATACATCGAAATGTGACATAATCAAAGATTATAACTTTTCTCCAGCAAATTTTCAACTCTTCTCTTTATGTGGATGATGATAGGGAGGAATATGCCAGTGAGAGTCACAATCATAATTCTATTTGAATATAGTTAAACCCCCATTTTGCTTTTGAAAAGATTGTCCAAGTGCAGGGTTCTTAGCGCTGTTAGACATGATTAATTATGTATATATATATATAATTTAATTGGAATCAAATTAGTGCCTTCTTCTTCTGATAAATTCGTTTATATCATCTCTCACTTCCCCATCCTTTCCATGGTTTAGATTTGCACAATTAGAACTAATTCTTTGCATGATAAAAGTGGTGATCTTTGAACTAATTCCTGCATTATATATATATATATATATATTGGTTTTGACTATTATATCCTTCCCTCATTAAAGAGGAGGTTGCATTTTCAAAGATTTCAGATGACGTTGGAGAGTTGTTATCATCCATGACAATATTACTCTTATGCTTTTGATAAACAATGTACTTCCATTTTTTTTTTTTTTTTTTTTTTTTTTGCAAATTTACTTACAAAGTTAACAAATATATATATTTAGACAATTAAATTGCTAAATTTGATATATTCAAATGAAAAAATCACACTGCCTACCATGGAATGAAATTAGGTGATCGACCATTAGATCACAAGAATAAAAAAATTTCATGAATGTTTCTATAGATCATTTTCTTTGGTTAATAGTCAATTTTTTCTTTAAACTTGATTAAAGTTAGTCAATTAAATTAGATTAGAATTATGTGTTCTCTTTATTAATTCTAATATTGAATTAACGAATAAGATAACTTTATGATTAAGCTTCCTGAAATTAAGTGATCAACAATAAAACGAAGCTCTTGTCACAAGACGTCTTATAGTATCATTACTCATTAAATTTAAATGATGAGGTGTCAAAATTACAAGAATGACCTTTGGTACCATGAATCGAACCCAAAATTTGGTGTATTACGTTGTGGTTGGTAAAGTTGACGTGTCAGATTTGACGAAGACAAGTAACAAAGCAGACCCTAACGTCCATCGATCTGCATTAATATGATGGTGTAGAGTACCCATAACACCACTCAACAACACATCTAGGAGTCGCCTACTACTCTCTTTAATTCTCTCTCAACCATGTACAAATACTCCTCTCTCTCTCTCTATATATATGTATTCAATGATATACCATAGTCCATACACATAACATTTGTTATTGGAAGTTGATGATGACGATGATATTGATGAAGTACGAGTTTGATGATGATGATCACATAAGTTTTGATGTTATTATTATGAAGGCTGCTGGAACTACTTGTTAGTAATGATCAGAGCACTGGTGGTTATGTTGGCCGTGACGGTGTCTCTTCTGGTGTTGCCGCTGATTCTGCCTCCGCTTCCTCCGCCGCCTTTGATGCTTCTTCTCGTTCCGGTTGCGATCATGCTTGTCTTGATACTATTGGCCTTTTCGCCTTCACAACTGCCCAATGTTACAGACACTGTGGTATGATATACTCTTACCCATCATATATATATATATATATATATATATATATCTACTCCGTTTACATATATGATATGTATACATGTATGTATGTATGTATATGAACTTGACTTGAAGACACATATGCCAAAAGTTGATGATGATGGAATGGATAAAATGGAACTGTGTCACTCTTTTGGAATTGTCACAGATTCAAAGAACTTTCTCTCTCTAGAATGAAAGTTTTCTCTTTCTTCGGATACATCGGTAACATCGCTCCAAATCATGTATATATGTGAAACAATTTTCCTTTGCTTTGTGCACTTTTACTTTAGTTTCTTTCTAGCTAGCTAGGATATTATAATCTACTTTTCGGTTGACTCAAGATGAAAATATTCATTAATTTGGTTTTTTTATGTTATGTTAGGGCAAAAAAAAAAAAAAAATTTTGCATTAAAGTCTCTCAATCTAAGAATTATGGAGTTTAGTGAAAATGTCATGCTGGTACGGAATTTGTTCATTAATTATTAGTTAAGTACTTTCATTTTTTGTCAGTTACATAAAGAAACTGATAAAATAACGAACATTATTCAAAAGCAGAAGATAAAAGATAAGAGTTAGATGAAGAACGCAATGTAAATGTTCAATTTTATATACATATATATACGTATGCATTGATGTAGAAATCATATAGTCCGTATAAGGGTGAAGTTGTGAAATTCAATGTACAGAAAATTTTACACCTGTGCCACGTCAACATCTGTACCCAATTAGAAAGTGATTTAACGTGACAAAGAAATGGAAATTTGTTGATTTATTTCATAGTTGTAGGGGCACGAGGAAGGACATATATATCTCAAGAGGAGTTGTTGATATATCCATGTTCTGGTTTGATTTTCAACGTGAAGACTCTCCGTGATATATTGTGCTAATATTATATTACTATATTATATTATATTGTTAGACCTAGCTTGTTTTTCCAAACCATGTAAGAGAAAGGTAGAGAATTCTATAGAGAGAGAGAGAGACAGAGAGAGAGAGAGAGAGAGGGAGGGAGTGCAGAAAGGGAGGATTTAATTTCTGTGGGCCAAAGTAAGATGCATCTGTATCTGTATTAACGACAAAATAGTTTGGTGGGTTTTCAGATTGGAGAAGGGCTAAATGACAGTGTGTATACTATTTCCTAGATAGATAGATTCCAACAAAGACGAGGTCTTAGTATCATTTGTACGGCTGTAAAGAGCGTTGGGATTTGTATATATTATGCCAACTTGCCAAGTGAACATGGACTATGTGTTTGTTGCCATTTAAACTTGCATGTGTGTGTGTATATATATTTGTTCATATATGAAAGTATCAATACCAATGGCAACTTTACATGTATATAATGCCAATGGTAGCTGGGTTACACTTTATGTATGTAATGTGTGGATAAAAAGTGCGTTTGGACAAATAGAAAGGAAAATAATTGGAGATGATTTTTTTTTTTTTTAAAAAAAAAAAAAAAAAAAAAATTAATTAATTCTAGAGAAAAGACAGTGTCAAGCTTTAATTTTCCCGAGATCCCTGCTTAATAGTGTGTAAACATGCAGAGTTCTAGAACTTTGAAAATTCGGGTACAAAGAAAAAAGTTTCTTTCAAATTATTCTTTCATTTTAGACAAGAACTTTAATTTCTTCATTACTTACCGAAAAAAAAATAAACTTTAATTTCTTCATGCCCGGCCTCAAATATACAATGGACATACATATAACTATAGACACGCAAATAATTTGAAAGAAATCCGTATTTCGTTACATATTTCATGTGGCTAGGCATGCAAAAATAATTTAGAGATCCTAATAATCACCATCACATGTTAATGTAGTAGACTTGAAGCCATATGTTAAGTCCTTGATGAAGGATATGGTAAAATACATGTTAATAGACTGAAATAATATCTTTATATATATTCTTTTTAATAGTAGGAAAGAAGTTCATCTTTGAATAAAGAAAGAGGCAGCAGCTAAGTGATGAAATTTACACACACAGGTAGGCATATATATATATATATATATATATATATGCATGTATGTATCACCCAGCCAAAAACTGTATTCATCTTCTCCAACTGTCTATCTACAATCCAAGTTTAGATGGTCAGCAATGAAGTCCATAGAATGAAAGCGCCAAACTTATCATTGACGTGCTCAATATATACTATCTATATTTGCTGAGTGTAGCAGATGCAAGAAGTCAAGTATAGAATGATATGGTGGAGTCTAGCTTAAGTAAATTTTGGGGCCTATTTGGATACATTTACTCAACTTGGCTAGCTCTGAATCGAAGTGTGTGCTTGTCATAATATGCCTAGCTACCCTTGTAGGTTGGAAGAGTTCAAGGTTATAGGTCAAAGTATGTTTATGCTTTTTAGGGTTTCTCTTTGGAAAGGTGCGGAATTGAACAACACATATATAACCTAAATTGTTTGGTGAAAAAAATAAAAAAATAAAAAACTAAATTGCTTGAAATAATTCATGTGTCTTCCTAGCTACGTTATACGGACACGAATATATTAACACGTCAAATTTTTAAAAAGTAAGACACGGATACAACGTAGCCACGACCACATAACAATATAAATTTTTATTAATATAAATCTATTCAGTAATAGTATTATAATTGGTTTATAATTTCTATACTAAAAGTTGCTCTGAAATGAATTAGAAAATAAAATTATGTCATTATTGTAATAATTTTTATATCATATATATTATTATTTCACTACTTTGTCATGATAGTATTTATATTATTTTCAAGATTACTGTGTAGACTTCTATTAAAAATGTCCGAGAAGTGTCAACAAAGTTTTCAGAAAGTGTCGATGAAGTGTCTGAAATAATAAAATTAAATTTTATTAATGGACACGTGTATATGAAGTGTCGGACACGTAGTGTCGGTGTCCAACACCGGCACAACACGGGTACGACTCCTTTGTAAAAGCGTCCGTGCTTCCTAGCTTCCTAGAGAAGATCTTGGTATTAAAAGGAGAGAAATCCTTGCAAGAGCTTTTGTCATGTGCTCTTTATTTTAATTAATAAATTATAGGAGATTATATTAACTTTTTTTTTTAATTTTTAATCAAAAAAGAGCACATTATAAGAATTATATTAACTTTTTTTGATTAACTTTATATTAAATGATTCAAAAAAATTATTTTAATTAATAAATTATAGGAGATTATATCATTTGATTAAAAAATCTAATAAGTTTAGTTTAAGGGAAGAAAAGAATATGAATAAGGAAATTTTTATTTATTTATTTTTTTTAGGTAAGGGTAAACTTGTATTAAAAGATAAAATATACATGAGCCCCCCTTAAGGGGATGATACAACACAATACAAATCAGTACAATGTCAAGGCCTTAACAGCAACCTCAGTACAAGGTCAAGGCCTTAACAGCAACCACAACCAAACTTTGAAACCATTCCTACAATATAGCCAAACTATAACAGCTAAACAGTGCATCCTTCATTCTCAATTGCATGAATCTACTGAACTTCCAAAGGAGATCTTCAAGCTGCCACCCTCAATTGGTGAGGAACCTTATGTTATCAGCCAATAGTGCATACTTGAATCACTACATGCCTGTACAAATAGGCTTTGGAGGTCCTGTGTATTTGTAATTCCTCTGAGCTCGGCACTACTTCTCAACTTGATAGTTACAAGTTTTGATCTAGTTGAAAATTTGATTTAGGAAATGGTAAGGTTAGGTGAGCTGAATGTATTTCTGAAGGCTCTATAGTTTCTCTCCTGCCACATAAAATAAATTGCTGCAGATAAAAGAAGCTTATGGTTAAGTATTTTCCTGAAGTCCAATTTACTGAGCACCAATTAATCAAGTCTGTCCAGGAGTTGGGGAGAACGAAAAACCCTACAATCACTTGAAGAACTCTTTAAACCAGTGAGCTGAAGCTACATTTGAAGAACAAATGATCCATGGATTCATTTTTAGCCAAGCATAAGTAGCACCTGTTAACATAGTGCTTGTGGAGCATAGGCTTTGAGTCCAGAGTAAAAAGGTTTCCTCTAACTGCTAGCCAAACGATGCAACTGTGTTTTGGGATATGGTTTTTAAACCAAATCAACTTATACCACACAAAGGTTGGGGATGGTGGAGCAAGGCATAGGTGTGGGAGAATGAGTATGTTTTTGTTGGGCTAGGTAACAATAAAATATTGTCATTATACTTAGAGGGAGGATGTAAAGTGTATAGCTGAGAGAGGAAGTCCAAGGACTAGAAGAAATGGGGGTAGTTTAACGATAGGGGTATCATCCAATGACCATATATTGGAAATTAGGCTATCAATTATGGCTGAAGAGTCCAGTTGAAGAATTTCCAAGTCATTCAACCGCAATTGTTTTACAATTGGACCATTAGGCAACCAATAATCCATCCACAACTTGGTATCTTTCCTACATCCAATCCTATGCAAAATAAGTCATCTTGCCATTTCCCTTAGCTTCAATAAATTTCTCCAAAAACCAGAGCTAAGTGCAGAAGATTTAACAGACCAAATGCACTTATCCTTGATAAGATAGCCATATGACCATGCTACCCAAAGACTTTCCTTTTTTAAACATAATTTCCAAATGTGTTTAAGGTTGGTAATTCTGTTTGACAACTCAAGGTCAGGGAACCCTAATCCCCCAAAAATTTTAGGCCTACATACTGTATTCCAAGCAACTTTAGCTCCTCTTTTCTTCAGCTCAACACCAGTCCAGTAGAAACTTCTAAGAATCTTGTTAATATCCTCAAAGACTTTCTTAGGTAACATAAATGCCTGTGACCGGTAGGCTTGGATAGAACATAACACTGATTTGATCAAGACAGCTCTCCCAGCATATGAACGAAATCTAGAAGTCTAATTGCCAATTCTTTTGGTAATTCTTCCAACCAATGTTTGACAGTCTCTAGCTTTAATTGCAGAAGAAGAAATGGTCAATCCCAAGTAAGTGACAGGAAGAGTCCCTGAGTCAAA